TTTTTTCTCGGCAAAACAGTTTTCATTACTGTGTGAGCATGTGTGGGTCCGCAAAGTGAACCGTGGGCCATTGGGTGTACTGAAAGTGCACACTGGAAAGATTGACAATTGCTGGAAGCAAGCAAAACCTTTTTTGCCAAGCAACATGTTAACAAAGAAAGGGAAGAACAAGGATGTGATGTTGTGGTTGCGTTGCTGGCAATGGCGCTATGAAAACAAAACCGCTGGGCTGTTCACAGTGACAGCCTCCACGTTGCGTGCACACTGAGCTGGACCGATCGACTTTGTGAAAAGGTTCTGATCGAATCGGTGAACATGTGTGTTTTCTCAGGTTTTTTCGTGTTTCAAGCGAATTTTGGTCCAAGTTTTGGACACAGAATTTCCGATTTACAAGAGGTTCCAAACCCTCTTTTCCATTGTTTTTTGCAGTGGATTTGCAACACCTCTGAAGTTGGCGTGCGAAAACGCACGCGCGGTTTTAGATCCGCCGGGTTGTTTATGCCTTTTATATTTTTTGTGTCATCGGAACTAGCTTTAATGCACATCATAACACTAATGAGTCCGGGGAAAGGCGGAATCGTCTATATAATTCTTGGCTTTGAGAGGACCTTTTTTTTGAGACCTGAAGAGCCAATTGACAAGCACCTGTTGCAACAACTCCCTTCAATATAGATACCTCGACCTGACTTCATTTGTACCCTTCGAAAATGGCACATGACCCGAACAAAAAACAGGTACGACCTGGGCCCCATTCTAAGGAGTGAGAATAGGATCCAGGTACAAGAAATGTTCACCCTGATTCACATGATGAACAGCCCCGCTCTAAGGATTTAACTATTGATGTTCAAATAGAGAGGTCGTGCAAAGAAAAATAAACGTTGATGGGTCAAGACTTCAGAGTTTTGGGAGTAGCAAATGTGTTGATTAGTTTAAAACATTTAGCTGTGCTGAACCTATCCCGATTTCTCATTGGCATTCTAAGTTTGGTTCCCAACTGGCTGCATGTCTAAAACCATACTCAAGAATACTCAGAGGTACTGGAACTAAGACTTTTCAGAATCTCCTGGTGTGCATTTCTTAGATCTTGTTTGTAAGGAAATTCGAGATGACCCGATCAGCGAAGCCCGTGTCCAAGTACGAGACTACAAACCAGAACTATCATACAGTTTGACTCAGTTTGATAAGCTTCTTTTTGCTCTGGTCATCGGGTCATCTGGCAGCTTCAAACGATTTGTACTCACACTCTTTGCAGAATGTGCGGTTTTGTGAGTGTGTGATGGGTCAACACCTTGAACCCCAACACCAGGTAGCTTAACCTTCCAGGTAGGCCAACCAACAGCTTCGTCCCCTGGTAGGTCAACCCACAGCCATAGATGCATGGTATTCCAATCCCTTCTCTCATCTTCTCTCCCATGAAAGAGAGGTGACCCGATCGCAACCCCGGACCTATTCAATCGGTCGGCCGATGTCTTTTGTCTTGAAGACATGTCCTTTTCTTTGTGCGTGTCTCTGTGTGTGTGTTGGGGGGGAGTCTTCGAAAAACCAGAGAATTTCGAGAAGAGTTGAATGTACAAAACAAGAATCCAAGCCATCTTCCTTGAGAATCCTGGCACTGTACTTGAAAGGCTAGGTTTGGAGGCTACACATGTCTTCTGGGAAACCCTGTCCTCTCCCGTGTCAAGGCTTGAACAATGATCTCACAGCCAGAAGGGACTGGAATCGACAGAACAGGAACTGAAACTGAAACTTCCAAACGATGCACCAAAAACTAAGGCTCCATCATCTACAAACTGATGTACATGCCAACGTAGACTCTTGATATTCATAGCATCATATAATATAGAACCCCTTCCATCCAAACATCTATCTTCATGGTACAACTATATACACGTGACATTTGTTGGCAAAACTGCAGCCAAACGCCCAAAGCCTGCGGGCCCCCGGGCGCACGACACTTCAGGCGGCGGCTTCGTCCACATAACGCGGAACGAGTTCGGCGACGGATCGACGGTGGGGACGGCGACCGAGTTCGGCCCTGTTGTTAATGTGTTTGTTTCCCATTTGTGTTGTGTTCACATCCAACATGTCGAGTTGGAGAATGTGGCGTTTGAACATGTGAAAAATCAAGACAGCTTTTCAGAAAGTACCCATGGCCTTGTGACCAAGAATGGAGGGGCTACGGTGGGCATCAGGAGCCACTTGGGCAATTTCATGTCACTCATCTTCATGATGAACGGCGAACTGTATCGCCCAGCTTGAGCCAAACTCTGTTCCACAGCACGTTGTTTTTCCACGCCCAGAGTACTTTACTGCAGGCTGATGGTTCCAAATTGAGTTGTAGAAAGTGATGATAGTGTTATGAACCCAGTTCGAGCACTTTAGATGGGCTCTGTAGATGACTGGACCATCTACTCAGCTATTTCTATAAACCCTCGTCATCTTGACTATATATCTGCTATCTGTGCCATTTCTCAAACCGAACAGCCCTAATGAGCAGCGCGTGTAAACGATCCATTTACACTCTAAAACATGTTGAGGGTTCCGCCACATGCTGGCTCATGGAGCAGATGACTTCACCAACCCAAACCTCTAAGAATACCTGGTATTCTAGTCATGGGGGTCTGAGACTTTGGGAAAGCTGCGAGCTTGGCTTTTCAGGCCTCGGTCCGTCGCCGCAAAGCTGAGCTGTTTCAGCTGCTGAGCTGCTTTTCTTCGCACCCTGAAGTGTGCTGTGCCTCATTGATCACTGACAGCAGCTCTAACCCCCAAGGCTCAAACAGCTCAATCCCCAAATGGTGATTTATGCGAGGTTTTGCCTGCCACGAGTTCGGGGGCGCTGTATAAGAATCCTTAGCAAACTTAAAGTTAAGCACCTTTTGCACCGAGTAGTGTAAAGGAATGCATGTTCGGGCGTCCAAGTGAGCGTCCGCCAAAACATCCTGTTAAGAAGAGGACATGATTCAGCAAGGTAAAAGCTTACCGCTTTTGAGGAGACCCCAGCCTCAACATAGCTGAACATATCCAAAAACTGCGGTTATGTGGCGCATATGGTGATCGTTGAGGGGGGCCTATCACTTTTACAGGTGTTAGCCACATTCCTGAAATTCACCACGGCTCTTTACCAAAATGGTCATCGCACGTTTTGGCATTTGCTCAAGTGGAGCACGTTTACGGATTAACAGCGGGTGCTTTCGGAACTGCCAAAGCCGTGATCCCCACGCATGGAACTGTTCAAAATTTAATGCGCAAATCCATTGAAATCCTATGAATTGCAACAGCATGGGTATTCCGGCTCTACATGTTACATAGAAACCTTCAAGAACGAGGTCCCAGCAGGGGTCTGTCCACCATGTTAAAACAGAATAAGCTTTAGTACGGCTTCAGTACCGTTAGCAACTGAGGTTGCATCGGTCTCACGATTGTTCTTAGGAAAGACCGCAATCAACAAGTGAATCAACAAGTGATTAACAAGAAGCTACTAGGAACAAGTGCATCGCTAGTAGTAACAAGTGCCTTACTAGTAGTAACAAGAAGCTATTAGTAACAAGTGCCTTACTACTAGGAGCAAGAAGCTACTAGGGGCTCCTGGCCTTAGTAGCGCTTACTAGTAGTAACAAGAAGCAATCATACCTTTTTCAGCATTCATCCAGTCATTGCGTCGTGCTTTTCACATCTTGGCTCACTGGCCCTCACCTCCTGTTTTAGACAATTAGGCGGCCCATGTGGCGAACGCCCTGTGCACAGGTGTTCCATGGTGTTTCGTCGAAGTCAATCGTTTCTCCCTCGTCTCGGTGACGTCGGCACGGAGCGGCACGGAGCAGCGCCGACCAAGAGCTGCGGAGCTGCCGGGTTGATGTAGGTGGGAAGAAGCTGGAGGAGCCTGATGTGATCTGGAGAAAACACATGAAATCACCGTTGTTCTACTATGACCATGACTCGTTTGCAAGTTGTAAAGTGACAAGTGTTTGATGCATCTCAGAAGATCATGCCAATAAGTGTGTGATGTGCTCAGAGCAGCTCTAGGCGTGCAGTCAACACCAACTCCACGGCCCCTACCAGCGGTGCATGAACCACGCACGCGCCACTCACCCGAGTCGCGGCGCTGCCGCGCTTTTTCGCCTGATGTGGTTCGGCGCTTCGGGCAGTACGACAGGGTGTCAGGGTGACCCGCTTTGAGACCGCCGTCACTCCCCCAAAACACCGCAAAAATCAAGGAGGTCGGAACAGATAAAAGCATGAGAAAAGCGCACGTAGGCTTTTTTCCAAGCCAAAGGACCCGAAAGTAAACGGTACAAGGACCCGATGGCGCAAAAGCCAGAGACCTGGATAGACTAGAATCGTGTGCCATTATGATTCGATCTATGATGATCAATGATAACAAATATTATGTCCAAATAGATATGTTTCAAAAGTGTTTGATCTCGGACTACTCGTCCTTTTTGCACTGTAGCGCTGATCTCGGGTCTAAGGAGTGAGTGAACAGGACATTCCGTCTTCAAACGACGAATGTTTCGTCTTTCTAAACAAGCACGTCTAAAAAAGATTTAGAAAAAGAAAAACGCGCACTCCTTCTGTGGCTTTGGTTGATCAAAGAGTGAACGGATGTGAAAGGGATCCTGCACCAAAGATCGGGGTAAAAGCATGTAAAAGTCCCCTATTTACGTTAAATATTAACTATATGACTATAATAATGTTCTCGTGAACAGCGTAGTCTAATGCCCCCAAATGCCACACATGTTGACGGACCTCTTCAGAGTATCTGATCGGTCTGGAAGCGTTTTGTGCTGCCCAAAACGGATAGCATGGATAGCCAGCTAGCAGCTAGCCGCAGCCAGCAACGGGGGACGCTCCAAGATTCCATGGAACCGAAAACTGCCGATCCGGGAAGAAAGCGCCGCTGCCAGGTGTTCTTGGGGGGGGCCTACATGGAGTTTCACAGACCAAAAAGAATACCATACAAAATCACATCACAAACATCCCCTACAGGTCACTTTGGCCTCATTTGGCTGGAGTTGGTCAACAAAAAAGATACGTTTAAAAAAAACATGACCTCCATGAGGTTTTCCGGTTTGGATCTGGATCAGAAATGACCTGTAGGGATCCATCAGAAACCTCCAGATAGCGTCCTTGCTCCTAGTAGAAATGCTCTTTACATCTCTTTACTACTAGTAGCTTCTTGTTCCTAGTAGCGATGCCCTTTTGTTCCTAGTAGCATCCTTGTTACTAGTAAGGCCAGTGCCAGGAGCTCCATTCGTAGCGTCCGATCGCTCCGTTCGTAGAACCAGGACCCCCGGTCAACGCCTATGACGCCAGGGCTCGGATTCTGCTTTTGGCCCCAGTCGTGCGAGACTCGAACCCCGTGAGCTCGGAGTGAAGCCCAGGGAGCGAAGAACAGAGGACTCCATGATTCCGAAGAACAGAGAACATGAACTTCTAGGACTTCCAGAAAGGATGAGAACTAAAATTAACAAAACACGCTGGTTCCAAAACAGCTTGGTCCTTCAGGTCCTTCTTTTCCGAGTCTCTTAACCTTCCACTTGAAGAGGATCTGAGCGTCATTGCTGTGCATCGGTGTCTCATCTGAGTCGCACAAAACATCACGGCGTTCCTCCCTTAGCCGGAAGAATTCCTCTGTCCTTTTGGGGGAATACGTAGTTCTTTCGGGTGTTTCCATATGGCGCAGCGAGTCCGGGAGAGGCTGCGATGAAAAGCGGGCAGGATGAAAACCCGTTGGTGACTTGATGGTGGCGATCATGTGGGAACCTTGGGCATTCGCGATCATGTGGAACCCAAGATCACCGAACTGTTGCGAAGCGAAATCTGACGATTCTTGCAAACCCGTCCAGGAGTGTTGAATGATGTTGAAAAGGGGCCTGTATACATGACACGAGCCTTCAAGGTGTTTAAAGAAGAACTGCAAACATGCTGCCGCCTTGACTCACGGTGGAGCTGAGTACTGTATAGAGGTATTCACAGCCTGCAGTCGTTCCAAGGGCTGAGTCTCTAGTGTGATTTTCACCGACCCATCTCAGCGAAGGATTGACAACACTGCGCACAGCGAGATGACCAGCCCGCGTTTCTCTCCTGTCAACAAGCGAGGCATTTTACACCAGCTGTCAACAAGAGAGCGGATGCGAATGATATCCTCCTAGATCGATCTCTACGCCAAAGTGGAATCTTTGATGCAAGCCCCACAGCAACAGTGGGACTTTCTGGAAATCCAACGATGAGTTTATCCGGTGATTAAAGGATACTGAACGGTTTCCACTGTGAATGGAAGAGGTTCTAGACTACCTAGCATGCGCTTTGAGCGCCAGCAAGCGGGTCTACTATTCTTTCTATGTTATTGTATCTTGCAATAAACTGTTTCTCTGGACATCTATTTCCAGATGGCAAGGTAGCAGACCAAGATTTGCGATGAAGTGATATATATATAATTGAAATTGGACTTCAGAAAACACCAAAAACACTAATTATGTCCATATGCCGTTTCTATCTTCAATCTAAAGTTCACTGTACCCATGTCACATCTGGGTTTTCAAAAAAAAAATCCAATAGTAATAGAAGCAACTCCTGGCAAAAGGTGTCAGCAAAACTCATCTGAAGGCCATTGCGGCAAAACTTCGCAAACTGTTGCATTGCTCGAACTGAGGCTCGCATGATGGTCGCAGCTGCTGGTGACTTTAGTGCGGATCACGAGCACCAGCTGCAGGGAGCATTTCCAAGGCCGCAATGCTAGGTTTTGGAAACACCACTCGAATTGCCCAAGGGGCAAATGGAACAAAGGTACTCAAACAATGGTAGCTGAGTCTTGTTTTGATTAGGCCTTTCCATATGCAGCAATTATCAATACTTACATTTAAACGAAAATAAAGAAAATATATATATATTTATTATATATATTATATAATATATTTGTATACAACTATACAAATATATACAGTATATATATATATAACTATAAATATATTAGCTATTTACTCTTCAACATTGAGATTATCTGCCCTTACCCGCCCTAGACTACCACTGGAGGCCACTGTGGCTACTTCTTCACAAGGACTCCTGATGATGGCGAATGTGACATGTGAATGTGGAACCGGACTCGGCCTGGCCGTGCTTTCACTCCGCTGGCGACCGGAACTCTGAACACCTACTAGCTTCTTGTTACTACTAGTAACAAGTGCCACGCTACTAGTAACAAGTGCCTTACTAGTAGTGACAAAAAGCTATTAGAATTTAAATTAATAGCTTCTTGTTACTACTAGTAAGGCACCTGTTACTAGTAGCGTGGCACTTGTTACTACTCGGCCTGGCCGTGCTTTCACTCCGCTGGCGACCGGATCTCTGAACACTTTTCAGCCGCTAAAGCCACAAGAATCAGCCACGTCGGTGAGGCAGGTCAGGCAGGCTCCAAACTCGCCGGTTTGGCAGCCTGCACGTCGGTGAGGCCTGCAGGTTGGGCCGCCATGAGATCCAAACCAACAGCAGGTCAGGCAGGCCAAAAGAAACCAGGGTGTCCCATGGTGTCTCAGCAAATCAACACGGAAGTTTGAAAGACTGGAAGGGGTGCCTAAAACCACTTGCTGGATTTGTTGTCTAGTTGTTTATATATTTGGCACCACAGGGGTGGAGCGCTTGATGTCCACCGCTGCCTGACCGCGAAAGCACTGAAGCACGCAAATTCACCGCAGCTTGCGAAGTGCCTCCATGAGTGTTCTTGATGCGATGGGCCTCGTCGAGGATGATTCTAGTCCACTTTGTTTTAAATAAAGTGGACAGAGAGAAATCAAGGCCCTGCTGCCTGATGTCCGGTTCAGGGATGTGTGCATTCTCGCCATCACCCAAATGCGAGCCCGGATTCTGCGATAGAACCATAGACGCGAAGCAATCCCGGACCAGTAAAGCCTGGAAGCCTTCTTGGGCACACAGGCACAATCCTGAAAGAGACTGACTCCCGAGCTTCACTGGACAATAGAGGTGTTCCACTAGGTGTTCCACCTGTTCTTGTTTACATCGGGGGCTGTTCAAAATACCTTTTCCCGAAAACTATCCTTGCGCCGGCCTTGGGCGAATCTTGCGCGAGCAAAGTAAAACTACAATTTCTGTTGAGTTTCGTTTGCCTGTTTTCGTGGGTGAGTTTCGTGGGTGTGTATGTGTATGTGCAAACCGCTATCACAAGCGGAGAGTTTGTACACATTCCGAAGGAGTTACCTGAAGACGTGTATTGTGGAGACGAGAAGCATTCTGAAGCATGCTTAAAGTCTTAAGCGGGTTAAGACCTCACACGTTTCAGTTTCACGCCACAAAGCACAAGCTAGCTAGTAAGAACAGTGTTCGTAGAAATTCGTGTAACTGTAAGTAGCCCTTGCGCAAAACCTTGCGCGATGCAGGTTTTATACCTACTATCAATGAAAAACGTTGTGCTACAAAATTCTGTTATGTGGGTTTTAGAACGACTCCCACATAGTGGGTAGCTCCCCACGACGTCTCCGTCAGGTCAGGTCACGGAGTGTGACCCTCGAGCTCGTGTCACTCAGACTCCCCAAACCAGAGCTGGAGTTCTTTTTGCCTGGGTCTTTTGGATTGGCTGGAGATCCAGGTGTAGTAAAACCGTTTGGAACACACAAAAACCTAGGGTTGGAGGGAGGGCCCAGCTTGGTCCATTGAGTGACTGTCCTTCAGCGAAACCGCGGGGAGGATGCCAAAAAGATGTGTCAATGCAAAAATCCGATCTCCATGCCCTTCCAGTGCCCTCTCTATTATGAATGATTCTGAATGTGATCATTGCAGTTGCAGAACAGCAAGTTTTTACCGCCAGCCGTCGGGGTCAGCATATTTCTCATCATACAAGCAGCACGAACCTCACAGAGTATTGAACCATGAAATCGAACGGATGCTTGGCATGCAGAAGTCACGTGGAATTCTGAAGAAGTCTCGCGTCCAGCCCCTAAGTAGAGAAACAGAATGAAAAGGAATGACCGGATGAACCAAGAACTACTGTACCCCCAAGTCACTAGTCTCTAATGATGGCCCCTCTTGGACACTGGGATTGCACAATGTCCAGGAGATCCCCCCCAATCTATTGGGCAGGCCTTCCTTTGCAGGACTAAACCCACACTCTAGACCCAATACAAGTTACTGATCCGGCCTTCTGTTCAATTGGCGGGGACATCAATGGGGTAAACACACACTTCATTATAACGTATGAGTTTCATTTCCGGCCCAGGGAAAACATGTGAAACGTCTGCCAAAGGGAGGGCACGCAAGGCCTGCTGGAGCAAGTGGGGTGCCCTTTGGGCGCATGAGCTCATGAACGTCGAAGGAAATCTTATGAGAAGAGAAATGTTATGGAAAGTCCAATTTAATTTCCACGGCTGCAGACTTCCACAGGAGGTGAGTTTGATTACCAGACCTACTGCAGTGTCTACGAAGCAAAGGCTGCTGCAGCCTGCAGCAGTTGCAGCTGCCGGCTTCGCCGGATCCCATCAACACCTGACTCACCGTGGCACATGAAAACGTGAAAGACGGAGCCAATGTGCCTCCGCCTTGGGGAAGAATCGAAGTGCCCACCCCATCGCATGGAAGTGGATGACATGGTCTCTGAAGAGGACGACTTCCTGTTGGACGAACGGTGACTCCACTCCACTTCCATGTGGAAAGACGGAGGATACTGGACGAACGGTGCTTCACTTGAGATATCCCGGTCCCGCAAATCAACCAAGGCCGCTTTGCGGGGTCATCTCCCTGCGGAAGGTGGCAGAATGTCTGTGAGACTCTGTTTGCGACTTTGGAGAGGTTCCCGTGCCCATCATGGCATCATCATGGCTTAACGCAAGAGGTCTAATGGCATCATCACCAGGAATGGCATCACCATTTCGTCCCATGTCCATCATTTGTAAACTCAAATCCAATTCCCAAATGAGTCCTGCGGTGTCAATGGTGGCAGCAACCTCGCGGACATTTGTGCACGCCAAAACGGACAAGTCATTGAGTCATCCCGTCGTGAGAGTCATCCGCTGGATCACTCACCCGCAGGATGTAAAATTGTTCACATGCCAAGAGCAGAAGAACAGCAGTGCTTCATGACTGCAGAGCTGCAACATGAACATTCGGGCACCCACCCACAGCCACAGGGATTGGTGATGGGAGTGGTCAAAGCCTAATGGCGTGGAAGGCCGACACCACTGAAAGCCTCAGGGTTGACTCATCTGTCTGTCTACACCTATAGAGACGCCTTACAATAGCTGTTCCATGCTTTTCCTAAACCGTTCCACGGATGTTGGGCTGTGGCCGCAAGAACAAACGGCCGTCAAAACAGAGCAGCGCATGGTCAAAACGGCCCTTCGGATTCTTCACCAGCCAGGTCTTTGTGAGCAGGAGGGGTCGGGTTTGAAACATATTTCCCCTGGGATGTCCAAGGTTTATGTGTGGACTTGCTTGGGAGAACCTGGAAAACATGTAGCAACTAACATCAACTATATATTTAGTTATATGAAATACTTTTCCAAATTTCCTTAATTGGCAACCAGTTCCCCAGATGTGACAATGAGCATTGCTTTGAGCAAAACCAGGAAGATGTCGGTGTGGACTACTGATTGCGTAATTGCCTGTTAAAGGGGGGTGCCCGCATCAGGACATTCCTTCGAACAAGTTTTGCCCTGTCCGTTGAAAACA